GGAGTAGGTAAATAAGCAATGACAACTGGATCAGTTCTGAGGAGCTCTGGTCCAGGAAGGTCCTTAACCCTTGGATGGTGTCCCAGAACCAGGAAAAATGGGTGGGGTCATTGAAGGGATGAGAAACGCTGGGTGATGTCACCATCAGAGCTCTTGGGATCCATGGGAATGGGGCACGCAATTTTCAATTCCCAATTCCCCCAGCTCCCATTGGGTTTTCCATGTCTTGAAATCCAGAAATTTTTACCACTTGAAACTGGAAACATTTGAATAGGGCATTGGAAAGCAGGCTACTTGAAAGGAAAGGCTTGAGAGCCAGTGGGTGTAGGTGTTGAGGAATTAATCAACCCAACATAAAGAATTGAGCCATAGCGCAGTGGAATAAAAGGTGGGAAATAATAAGGCAGGGCAATCAGCCAGTTTGCAGCCAGGAATATGTAATTAAGGGGGTACCTTAATTACATATCCCTGGTTTTGTCTGGTTTAATCACAGTCCACAATAAATCACAATCAAACACAATACAAAAAATTATACATCACAATGAATTCAATGATGCAAAGACACATTCAATGGAAACAATAAATTTGTGTGCACAAATTTAGGGTGCAATAATGCAATGCAACGATCCAATCAGAAGAATTGGGGTTGGATTGTTTGGAGGAAGTACAGTGGCCCCCCACCTAACAGACCTCTCGTGTAAGGTATTTTCGCCAAACAGACCAGATCTGCAAGCAGTTTTTCCTCCCGCCCAACAGACAAAATCCACCAAGCAGACTTCTTTTGGTTTAAAATTTGTGTTGAAAATTGAAATTTTCAATTTTTATGTAATTGAATTTGTGTAAAGGACTTTTTGTCTAACAGACTTTGCGGAGAAATTTCCCTGATAAAATGTTTGTCTATAATATTGTTTGTGATTCTGTTTACTTAAAGCTTCACATTGCTTGGAGTAATGGACGAAATATTCATGCTGTTCAAGTTTACCATGTGATGGTCAATAAAATCGGGTAACTTCATTTTGGGGATCAAGTCAAAAACAAGATTTCGTCAAATCTTCACATTTTTTCAAGAATTATATGAGACACAGGAAAAATGAAAAAGAAAGTTCGAATGTCTCTGAAATCCGCCCCCGTCCAATTATGTTTATCATAAAAATAGCTCTCATTGCTATGGATTATGCAAAGAGAACATCAGCAACAAAAAGGATCACTGATTGATGCATATTTTGATGCAGAGAATTTTAATCAGAAACATTTTCAATGCATTTACAATTTGATACAAACACATTGGGATACCAAGTTGAGAAAGAATTAATTGGGGTACATTAAAATTAGTATGAATTTTCTTCTTATTTTCATCTGCATAAACATTTTTTGTAATGAAATGTGTTTGTATTGTCAGGGGCTATTGAGCCTCTCTGACAAAGATTTGAGTTTCACTTATGGTCAGTGAAAGAAAGGTATAAACACAATTGGCCATTTGCGGCCTGAGGTCAATACTTCAACTTCAAGTTTGTATATTCAGCAAATGTTCAAAGTTCAGCAGTAACGTATTTCACTTGATCTTGGAAAGGTATCTTTTGTTGGAATCTTATGCCTCAAATGGTTCATGTAATATTTCAACAAAAATGTCTTACTTAATGAAAACCAAATACAGACCCTGAAAAATCATGATGAGATGCTTTTCTATCAATGCCAGAAGCAGTTGGAGCATACAATGCCTCTGTTGAAAAAAAATGCAATTAAATCTCTGACTGTGAGCGACATCTGCGAACCGAGAAAAAATCCGTTCTTGCAGATGAACGTTTCATGGATTTTGGCCTTTATTCTTAGCACGAATATGTTCTTTTTTTCTTCTTTCAAAAAAAAAAAAGATCTGCAGGTCGGTACTCCTTCGCACAACCCGCCGAAAGCAAATTTTTCCAGAAAGCAGAAAAAATCCATGGAACGTTGCAGATCCGCACCTGTTTTCACGTCCGACAGACCGTCAACATCGTCGACAGGATCCTTACCGACTCTCGGACCCATTTCCCGTCGACCCGTGACACCGTCGACGCCAGTGCCGTCGACACAGGAACCAACAACGCCGCCGGCTAGTGCGAAAAAGTCTCGTCACCGATTCGCGGGCCTCGACCGACGCAGGGCAGAGAAAATGTTGCGAGTGACGAAGTCCGAAGCCACGCTCGACGTCGTCCTTGTCAATAAGGAGAAAGACGACGTCGACGATCGACGTCGTTGGCACATTGGCACAAGTTTGGTCAGTGTTACCAACGAGTGCCAAAAAAGCCCGTCGGAGCCTCTGAAGCCAATGGAATTTTCCGCGACTGCGAAAAACGCGCCGTATGTCGTCGGTCCGGACGAATGTTGGCTTTAAAAAACGACTCCGAACACGAAAAAAAAACGCTTTAACAATGAAAAAAAATCATAAAATTTGATCTCAGTGAATATCTGAAAACATTTACAAAATTATGCAGTCTTTCGGTGTGGAGGTAATCTTTACAGGGTGGATCAGAGAAGAGTTCACCATTTGTAAAACAATATTTTCTTATATGTAGCGATTTAAGCTACCAAATTAACAAAAAATGTATCCACCAAAAACACATTCAATTATATCTGTGTAATGCTGTGCTATCTCTCATTTTTATTGGCATCGATATTCAAAATTTTTAAATGTTTGAAGTAATGTTTGAGATTCTTCTCACTTTACTTTTAATCATTCCGAAAATATCTTTTTCGAAAAAGACAATGAGCAAAAGAGAATGTTGAGACCCTTTGTTTCCCATTTGCAGTCGTGCTAGGTTATAACAGGTTTGCAGAATTTATTCCGTTAATTTTTTCGTAGTTTTTCATGTATTAATGAATGAAAATTGGCTGACAAATTTTTTTTGGGCAAGTGTTTTTATCAACGATGTGAAAATCGGTTCACTGTTTTCTGATTCCCTCTTTTCTTAAAGTTTTGCCCAAAAATGATGAAAATCAGGGCTGGTTTCATCATCAAGCTTTTGAATGTTGTATTTGGAGAGAATTTGAATGATTGAGTTGTGTTGAAAAAGAAAGTCTAGCAGAAAATGAGGCAGTTTGCGCAAAAACCGCAGCAACAAAAAACGTTGAAAAAGTCTAGATTTTTCGGGAAGTTGGATTTGTCTCCAGTGTTCAAAATTGTGACTGAAAAAAACTAGCGATTCAAAATTTTTTAATTTTCGAAAGGAAAAAGGGGGGATTTGGTGCAATTAGTGACTGTGAATCATATCGGAAATATTGTCTTTTTTCAAATACCGTATTCATGAAAAGAAAATTGTGATACTCTGGAAAGTTAAGTGTTGACTTTAAATGGATTGATCTTTGGGGTGAACGAAATCGAATGGAAAATTAGGACGAAAGGTCGATGTGTCTTGATTCTTCACTGTGCAAATTTTTTCCTTCTGGTCGTCGTGCAATAAAAGTTGGAGCTTATTCGCCAGGAAAATTAGCATTTCTTCCAACGAACCGTGAAACGGCTTTTTTTGTTGAAATCCGTGCAAAAGTGCTTTGAAGACCCTGATTCCAAAATATATATCCCAGGAAATGTTGCCTGTGATGAACCCGTGCTGAATTGACGATCAAAGGCAAGGTTTTCCTGGTTTCTACACGACCTGAGGTCACGTGCTCGGCTTCCGGGGCAAATCCATGCTATTTCCGGCTTCTGAATAGTTTCCTCTTTTCGGAGGTCCACGACCCGGACACGATTTGATGGAAACAGCACCAAGTCAATTTCAAGCACAGGAATTACCCTTAATTACTGAGCAACGTATATATGTGCTAACTTTCTTGCAGAAAACTTGTTTGAATTTTGTGCGGAAAACTATCTTGAATTTCTAGCAGAAAAGTAGTTTGAATATCTTGCAGAAATGTAGCTTGAACATCTTGCAGAGAAAGAGCTCGAATTTCTGGCAGAAACCCAGTTTGAGTTTCTTGCACAGAACAAGTTTAAATTTCTTCTGGAAAAATAGTTTGAATATCTTGCGGAAAACTTGTTTGACTTTCTTGCAGAAAATTGGTTCGCCTCAAGCTAAACCTCTTGCCAAAAAGTATAAAAACTGAGTTATAAGGCAAGAAAAACCTTTGTATAGTAAGTATTGTCGTGTCTCATATTACAAACGTCGAAAAAATTAACATTTCATGCATAAAAAGGTCTTTATCCTCTGGGAAAACGAATCATTCCATCAGCCAAAGACATTGCAAAATCTTTTCCAATATTTTTCTATGTATAAAATTCATTTTGCACTACTTTCCCTCTAATTTATGCTAGTTCAATTTTCACTCAATTGTATATGCTTTAACGAGGGATTTTATTCAATGGTCATTGAAGAAGTAAGGCTGGGAATCTTTGATTTTCATCAACTAGAAACCTAAAATAGTAAAAAAGTTTGAACGTTCAATTTCCGCTGTATTCATTTTTTAGTTTGACGAATTCATCAACTACTTCTTGATATATATTGCGAAGGAAAACCTTGTGCAAAACACTAGGTTCATCGCATGAAGCATCATTTTATTGTACAGTATGAAAAAGTGAAGTTCGACACATTTAGCGTTGTTTCAATTCTGCCGTTCATCAGATCGAGGATTTCAAACCAGAAAACTCATCTTAAATTGACACTGAATATTTTTCCGTTACTCCAAAAATTCTGCAGCGTTTAATTATTTTATATTAATACATTTGTGAGAATGTTCATCACTAAGTCTGACTCGTAACGATGCCTCAATTCAGCACTCATCACATCAAAGATTCAAAACCAGAAAACGTTTCTTAAATTCCCGAGGAATATTTCTTCCGTGACTCAAAAAATCTTTCAGCTGGTAATTATTTCTAAATAAATATATCTGTGCGAGTGATGTAAGTTTTTTTCGTAGACCTCATGCAATTTTCTTGATTATTTTTCGGGGCACTGGAGGCGAAAATTCGATGTTGCCAACGAGGTTAGTTCTGTCACCAAGGGAAACGCGTCACATGCGGGCTTCCATAGAAAAGGAAAGTCGACGTGTTTTTCCCGACCCAATGACGTCGGTCTGGCAAGAAATAACTGTCGAGAGTGTCGACTTGTCGTGAAATACACACACACACACACGTACAAAAAACACTTGGGGACCAAATATCTTCTTTAAGCAGCACGAAAGCGAGATAAACTGGAGAGCAATGAAAGTATGAATTTCACTCTCTTTTTGCCGATCGTCACGACGAGTCTGTTTACACACGCTGTTTTTCTGTGCATGTATATGTTGGTCCTAAAAGGAATAATTGTCTTTTATCCTGTATAGTGTTTTCTTGAGATGGGTTATTGCGGAAAGGAGAAACTAAGACTTGAACTAACTCACGGGAATCCCACCGTGTTTTTCGGGTAATCCTCATGTTTTTTTTTTCCGCACGTTACGAGATAGGCGTAAGAATTGCAGGAAGTTATTATCGGCTTTTTCAGGCGTAACCATGATTACCCGGGTTACCAAGGCTGGTTGCCACATGCTGACTATAACCCTGGACCTTGATTTGTTATATCCCTTTTTTTTCGGGGCCAGTTCTGTGCAGTTTTGTGTCAATGTCAGGCTTCTAAGGTTTCTGGAAACGCGTTTTGCAGTTTTACAACGTTTTTTGACAGTTTTTCAGCACACGATTTGGCATATAAATCGCTTGTCAATCTGTAGGAATCCGGTTGCACTGTCAGACTTTTAAAGTGCGCAAATGTTTAGCAAATTATTTGAGAGCTAGTCTGTGAAACCTCAATTGAAGCTCGTAAAGAAATATTGTACTGAGTATTCAAGTACATTTTTTTGTGTAAAATGTGTGGATTATTTCTATGATGAAAATTGGACACTCGTCGAATACATCAGAGGATTTATTCGGAATAATGAGTTGCCAATTTTCCACATTTTCGTTTAATGCAGTGGTTGTCGAAATCTTAAAATTCTGGCGAATTTACAGGCTTACAAAATTAATATAAGTACTTTCAAAAATATTAAGAGCCCGTAAATTCTCAATAGAAAAAGATACTGACCACCCTGATGCAAATGATGATACGGTATACAATTTATTATTTGTGGATCATATTCTGACGCATATTAAACGCACGAATTTTAGATCAAAAAATATCAAAAAATAATTCATTGAAATTCAATGGCATTATTTTATCAATAGGGTTCAAGGTTGTTTTTATTTTTAAACTTCCAGAGCTGCATGAATATAATACACTAGAAAATACGAGTATGTAATTTTTCATTTTCCAACTCTGAAAATTGCTAGAAAAGATTGAGGAAGGGATTTTTCGTGGAATGATAATAAGGGACAAAATGGAAATTTTCCATCATTTTGTTTCCATAGAAGCGGAAAAGTAGGAAAGTCGTAATATAATCCATGTGCAACGTTTCCTTTCAGGTCTTGAAGAAGGATTATTTCCAGAGAAACGGAGCTACAGCTCTAGAGATGTTGCGAGGATCCCCGGGGATCCCAGTGGTGTTCTGCTGCTTGCAGTTCTTATCCACGACCGTCAGTCAAGGTAAGGTCTTTTGCCAGCTTCCTCAAAAACATTTCGTATATGCAGGGATCCCGGAAATGCATTTCACGTCAGCTTAAATAAAAAGTTGTACCAATCAAGAGTGGGTTCATGGGCTGTAAATCTTCTGATGAAATCCCAAGTAATTTCACTTTAAAAAATATAATAAAAATTAAATATACACGGTGTCACGTCCCAAAGCAGCACAGCTGCTGCATCCATCCGCAACCAGCCAAGAAAACTTGATGCATCTCAAGGCCAGTGAACCTTGCCAAAATCCTGTTTTTGCCAGACTCATTGAGCCTCACCCAAGGCCAAGAAGTGGTCACCACTTCCTCAATTTTCCCAAAATTGGCCAATCATGTGCACCTTGGTATATAAAGCATTCATTCCTCTTTGTGAGGAGAAGTGAGCATCTTGTGTTGAAGGGCCTTCCAACTTAAATTACCTTATTCATTCTTCTGAGCTGACCAACCAACCAATCTTGTAATTGATTCTGCCATCCCAAACAACCATTTCATTACTAGCCAAATGATGATCTGGGCAATGAGAATGAACTCCTCTGAGAAGAGTTTTTGAGTTCTGATTCAAAATTGCTGGCACTCTGATATGACTGCACAATTCAATTCCTTTGTCTGGGATCCAATGGACCCATGACACAGGGAGAATCCAGAGAAAATCTATGATTATCCCTGAGTTTTCGATCTCGTATTTAATATAGTCTTCACGCTATACTGCTGGCGAAAAATATTTCCTCGGACTTTTTGAGATTCAATTTCATCCTCACATTCCTTTTCTCTAATTTTCTTTCAACTGCTGAGTCTGGTTACGAAAAACGCAATGAAATAAAGAGTTTTTCAATCCTGTAAGAAAAGAAAAAAGATAGAAAACTCCTCAAGGTATATTTGATATCTCTCGCACTGGGGCCGCTTTTCTTAATAAACGTCAAGTGAATGTCCCTCTTGAACTGGACACCGACTGTAGATATTATCAATCACCATCAGCAAAAAAAAAAAGGATAAAAAAAAAATCCCGAAGATACAATCGAATGAACGCTTCCACGGATTGATTTCCTGTGAACGAGAGACCAAATTAAGGGAGGACACGAGCAAAAAGACTTCAAATAAAATATTTTCAAGAAAATCCGAATAACAGGATGAGCCATGAAAATGGTCATGTGCATGGTAACGAATACAATTTCTCAGCTCCGAAAGAAAAATTAAAATTTCAAGGAAAATCGAGGCAAAAACAAAGAATTTCATTTTATAGTGTCACCAACTCATACGATTTATCTGTGTCATGGCGTAGTATAGAGAAACATGGAAATCCACGAAACACAATTAATGCTCGAAATGGATCCCAGATTAATTTTTGCACGTAATTTAGGAAGGAATTAATTCATGAGCTCTTTGTGAGAATTGCATCAGAGAACCGTAAAAGCCTGTCATCGCAAGTAATCCATTCGATTTATCCAAAAATAGAAACGGATTTCCGTTCATCGCTGCTTACTGATTGACTGGCGATTGAATTAACAGACATTCTCCAGACTTTATCATCAGGAAGAACAACAGATCTAAAATCCCTGGACTTTCTGAAATGCATGCTGGTTTTCCTCTATGCGTGAGAAAGTATTGATCCACCCGAAATGTGTCGCCATGTGCATAAGCGCATTGAAATTAATCCTTTCACTGATAAATTCCTGGCTGAGCTCTTATTTATCTTTCAGGAGGATTTAAAGCCCCTGTGTCATGGAGGCTTTAATATGAATCTCAGAAATTTGATACGCGGAATGGAAAAATTTAATTCAGCAGTATTATGCCACTACATTTTTTTAACTCCGAGGTATTTTTTTCCTTTTCTTGTGTCGAATTTCCAGAATGTTTCAAACAAACAAAAATCAAATTTGATTCTATGCTTGGATATTTTATTTTGACGGTTGATCCAAAATATTGTAATAGAGCTCCATTTCCCATCTTCTTTGCAAATATTGACAGTCCTGCTTTCTATAAAGATAAGGCTATTTTCTAAAATAATAAATGGGTTGGTTCGAGAAAATTTTCACACATTTGCATGGGTAATAGAGTAAACACTTCTGAAACTAACAAAAATTGTATAAGAGGTTAACATCAAAAGCAAGAGTCATTCAAACGATTTAAAAAATACTTTGAAACCAGGTCTGGTTTGAATAATCTTTTTTTCATAAATTGCAGTTTTATATGAAAAAAATTTAAAATTTTGAATCTTGGAGCAAAATATTACATCAAAAATACTGCATTTCCATCTCAAAACTTGATTCTCAGATATGCAAAATGCATTGCCCAAAAATCTTCTGATTTGAAAATTTTCTCTGCACTTAAGCTTTGAAAATTCTTGATTCCAGCAAAATCAGTATCCTTGGTTACCTGCAATTTGACCCTAATCTTTTGCTGGACTTGGGTTGAATTGCAGAATCATCAATTTACAATACACTCTGTAAAAGCAGGGGCAGAAAGCACATAAACACTAGAAAAGATGATGAAACAGGTCAACTTTTGGGAGAGAGGTTGAATTGCAAGTTGACGTCCAAGCGAATCTGACCATCAAATTGCAGGATACTTGAATTACAAGAGGTTGAATTGTGAGGTACCAGTACCACCTGTATTTGTATGTTGTTGTTCTGTAATGAACACGCTTAAATTTTAATCCTCTATGTGAACCAGCAGCATGAGAAAAAAATGATAGCTTGACTAGAGAAATTAAATTGTGTAGTTTTTTATTCAATATCAAATCCATTTATTAAGGACACATAGAACAAGGTTTGAATGACTTTTGACTTTTCATTTGGATTGAAAACAGTTTCAGGCGCAACTTGTCCTGCACTAACGCCATCCAGTGGAGCCACAGTCAAATACAATTTAGCATCGAATATAAGTGCACCTTACAATGAGAATACCACAGCTCAAGTCATTTGCCCCTGTTTGCAAACATGGCCAACAAATGCAAGGAGAACAGAACCAGCCACATGTACTTCTGCTGGTACCTGGACAACCAATTCTACCAGTCAAACCTGTGCTGCTCTTTCAGGTATGAAAGCTTATTCATGTCCAAGATGATTCAAGTAGTAATAATAATTATTGTTGGATAATTGAAAAATTGCAAATTTGCTAAAACGTAGCTGGCAAAATATATGCTCCTCACTATGAAAAATTATTTGAGATTGAATTCAAGTTTTGTACATCCAGCCTCATCGAAGCAATCAAAGATCAATAGAATACAAAAAAAAGAATCAAAAATGTTGATTAGCTTCAGCACAATTTTGCAACCCAAATTCAAATGTGATCCTTTTACTCAAGCTATAAGCCTCAAAGAATTCTTTGGATTTTCATACTTCTTTCTTAAATGATGAAGATATTCCACAGCAGTTTGGGAGTGACTGCTATTCAATCATAATTCTTGTTGCATAATTCTTTCCAGCTACTTTTCTGAAAGATTTCACAAAACAACACATCCCATTAAACAAATATCAGATGCATATTCCAATCAAAATCAAAGAATAGTCATTTTTAATTTACAGTAATAGAAAAACGAAAAAATTTCCCTCTTGAAATCTTCTAGCCCAATTTCAGGGCGGAATAAATGTTTTACCCTTTTTTAAATTCTTGGAAAAAAGCGAGAAAAAATCCCGAATTTTATTTCTAGAATGACTATTGAAAGACTACGTCGTCAGCTGATAACAATCAAGTCTAGTTCCAATAANAGTCGTAATGATGCAGTTGAACCACAGTAAGTTGAACCTGCTCAAGTGAAAAACATTTCGGTGTCAATTTTTTAGCCCCTGTCAAAAAACACGATGTGATATAGACCTCCTAAAATTTAAGATTTCCCCTCAAACCTCTAAAGCTCGAATTTCTGGATGTTTTCAGGCTATTTTTCTGGTGTCCCAGGAAAAAGAAAAACACAAGAAAGTAATTTGTTGCTTTTTGTGAATTTTGAGTGAAAATATGGTAAATTAGTTCAGCAACTTGCCAACTCATTTATCCAGCACATCAAGGCCCATATTTTTAACAATGTTTCATTCATGTGTTTCTTGAATAATGAATGAACAGAAAACTTTATTTGCCACTTTCAGCGTTCACAAAACACAACCAAGACTCCCGCATCCAAACCCCCTCCCCACCCAACCCAACTCCCCCCAAAGACATTCAATCACTTCAAATCATGAAACAAAGCACAAACCAATGACAAAAACAGAAGAGAACACACTCCACAAAATAGAATAAAACTGGACATCCTACACATATGCTGCATACACCCACCCATCCCCAATATTGAAGAAAAAGCAGCAGTAAAATTGTATTTAAAGCACAAGGTCTTCAGCCTATTTCTGTATGAGTTTTAGTTCAATGAACAATTTAGAGAGAATCTTTGAAGAGAAATCATATAAGGCCAAAAATGTATCTTTATCCTTTAAGATTTCAGAAAGTGTCTCCTCATTGAATTTCAGTAATTTTAAATATAGTAATTTTAAATTTAGCATATATATGTGTATACAGGTGGCATCTTATTGTTGCAACGCTCTTTGGATGGGGATATTAATAGCATTTTTATTACCAGAAATTTGCTCAAATGAGATGCGCATCAAACATTTTTGATAATCTCCTGGAATCAGAGATCAAGTAACCCATGGATAGCGCTGCTGGGATTTATTTGCACAATTTTGTACCACCAGTAAAAGAATTAAAAAAAAATTAAATACCCAGCATGCTAAAGCATCTAAAGTTGGGAAATTTCAGAAATTTTGTTTCATTCCTGCAGAACAATTTTTTGGAGAAAAAATCTTGTAATGACGGGTGGCATTTTTTCTGCATTCCAGCCACAGGATTAGCTTAGGTATTATGGAGACAATGGTTTTTGCTCTCTGGAATTTTTACAAACTTTTACTACTTGACCAAAGCTGCATTTCAGTGACCTTCAGTCAAACCAAAAATGCACAAGTGTGCAAAAATTTCCCAGGAACACAGCGCGCAATGGAAATTGATCTGCTGCCACCCAAGGGTTAATTTTGCTAAATCTCATTCATTCACTTAACATTTGAGGATATTATCAAGCTAGACAACAAAGTTTTCAGCAAAATACTTCCCTTTACAGTAAAATGTTCTCATAAAAAAAGTCATAGGGACACCAGGAAAATGATTTATTCTAACATATCCATTCTATAAAAATTCAAATACAGCAGCTGTTTTGCTATTTTATGAGGACCTTGAAAGCTAAAAAATGGATTGTACGGGTCTAAAAGAAAACAACCAATTTGAAAAGAAATTGGATGTACTGAAAACATGAGAAGAAATGGTTGTAAGCGAGCATTTTATTTGATGATATTCGTTTTTAAATGATTATGCTGTATGATTATATGTGAAAAAAAATTATACTTCAGGTTATCATTGAAATTGTTTTTAATTTCGGGATAAAAAATCCAGAAATCCGCTGAAAATGTTTCGTCACTGTACCGAATATTTACTTTCGTTTTTTAGTCTCAGTCTCAATTTAGAAATTTTGCCGGCAGTTGAACCAAAAAAGTTGTTAAACCTGAAATTTTTCATCTATTGAAAAGAAAAAAAAACAAGTCACTAAAAAATAAATAACGTTTACAGTCAATATACTCGGTGCTCCAAACGAACTTCCATCAGTTTTTGAAGACCTGGTATACTATCATATACTATTATATACGAAAGAACAATGGCAGTTAATCAATTCTATATGATACAATGAGAGACAATGGCAATTAATCAGCTTCACTGGTGCAAAAGATGCATCCTGCATCTTCTTCATACAAGAAGAAGCTATTTGTAGCCCATAGCACGTACATCAATTGTACAGAGACGGGTTCTCTGACCCGGAAAAGGTTGAGAACCTGCTAATTTCATAATTTGTTCCCTGTGATCTTCATTGTCTATTTCTTTGGTTTTATTTTTTCGTCGACGGGAAAGGAAAGCCTTCACAATAAAGGCCCTTTATTTTCCTCGAAATACGCTCGTCCAAATAAAGGGATGAGTTCTTCTGAAGTACGCGCGGAAATTAAACCTGGGTCTCGGTTCGGGTTTGATGATTCCGACGGGAAACATGAAAAAAAGTTCTTGAACAAAACTTGATCGCATAAATACAACAAAGAACGAGTTCAACCTGGTATATAACTCCAGAATGTCAATAATATATTTCCCAAGAAACACATTATAACAACCCCCTTTTTCCCCAATAAGCGGAAAATTGCTGGCGTTGGTGTGCGGAATTTTTTCTGAAAACAGAGGAAGTTCAGAAATTACGAGTCTTTGTTAATTGGCGCGTCCCGGGACGCGCCTGTAAACAGCAAATTATCCCTCCAACAGGGCCGTAAAACCAAAGTGTCTCGCATAAATACAACAAAGAACGAGTTCAACCTGGTATATAACTCCAGAATGTCAATAATATATTTCCCAAGAAACACATTATAACAACCCCCTTTTTCCCCAATAAGCGGAAAATTGCTGGCGTTGGGTCGTCTACTCTATGGGATTCCATATCTCAAAATGCTTTTAAATTTAATTTTTGATTGAGTTTTGTTTGAATTCTTTATATTTCCCAAGAAACACATTATACCAACCCCCTTTTTTCCCCAATAAGCGGAAAATTGCTGGCGTTGGGTCGTCTACTCTATAGGATTCCATATCTCAAAATGCTTTTAAATTTAATTTTTGATTGAGTTTTGTTTGAATTCTTTATATTTCCCCAGAAACACATTAAACCAACCCCCTTTTTTTCCCCCAATAAGCGGAAAATTGCTGGCGTTGGGTCGTCTCTATGGGATTCCGTATATAAACTTCCCCTCGAAATGCTTTCAAATTTAATTTTTGATTAATTTTTGTTCAGATTCCTCGAGTTCAAATGCATGTCTTGAGAAATTGGCTTGATTATTCACAGGGAAGGCAGAATCCCTGCGGACTTCTCCAGGGGTTGCAAGGAGGTTTACCTGGACACTGATGGGTTCGTGAAGACACGTGACCGGAAATGCAGCTTTAGTTCCGGGGAACTGGCGAAACTGGGTGTGGTATGCCAGTCAGGAATTCCACTGAGTAAGGAACATTCAATCAAGATTTTAAAAGCGAAACAAGTACTCTCATATAGTCTGAAATGAAAAAAATGATTCGATTTCATATTTTTCAGTCATTTCAAATACTTACAATATGTTATTAAATTAATGATGTTTTTTTTGTCCACACCTTCAATATAACGTAGTGTGCATCGGAAATTTTTTTTCCACGGGTTTCATCAATACCTTGATCTTCAATAGGGGTTTCAACTTTCAAGATTAATTCAAAACAGGTTATTGAAGAGAGTTGAAAAAATATTATTTCAAGATGACGCCCATGAGTATTCAAAAGTTGAAACTAAATTCATGCCTCATTTCGTGAATGATTATTACTCCAACTGTTCCTTTTTTAGGGATTTTGAAGTAAAAAATAATAACCGACAAATTAAGGACATATCATGCACCGATTTGATGTGAGTTTTCTTATTGAAAATTTGAAAAAATAAGCGCTTAACTTTTTCAAACTTCGAAATATACAGTGCATTAAAAAATACGCTTGCATCGAAACCTTGCCGTAAAGTTTCAAAGAAAATTACCTCTTGAATTACAGATTAAGCTTCTTGTAATTTAATTTTTCTTCCATCTTTCATGATGACATACTATTTTTGTCAAAATGTTTAGCAAAACGTTGTTTGGACAGGAAATGATCTCAAAAATCCTTTATTTGATTATGCAAACCGTCAAATGTGAAACAGGGCTCCACATTAATTGCCCCTAAATAGCTATTCATAAATTTCAGAGCTTTCAGGGATGCTCCAAAAATTGTTTGAACTAAGTAGATTACAACTTTTCTGTACGAAATTCAAGACCATTGTAGAAAATAAGGGATTTTATTTTTTTTTTAATGCAAGACACGAAGTCGACTTCCGGGGCTTTGTCGAAGTCATTTTATGTTTAGAAACCTCTTTGTGTTATTGAACATGGAAAAAATCTATTAATTTTAAACTGCGACAAATTTGCTTGGAATGCTTTGTTTCAAATGATGACAATAGAGCCTTGCGCGGACTTCGAAATTTCTTTAGCGATACGCATTTATGAAGCTTCTGCTAATTCAGATTGCTGAACGTGAAGTATTGTATATATAGAGAACCAGGGGAATGAACTGTATGCAGATTAGAAGAGAGAATCGTGTGCAATTTACTCCCGTGCTGATTGACGCTTTCATAATCTCCACCGCCAACATAATCCCCGTGAAAATTTCCATGCGCGCTGCCAAAAAGGAAAACGCAGATAAGAGCTTCAGGATTTGCATGAATAGCTACCCTGAAATACTAATCTTCGCGTTGTTTACCTTGCAAATCAGCCGTGATGTGAGCATAACTTCCGTCACAATTCAGAATTTTTTGAAGGTTCATCAAAAAAGCAAGAGTTCAGAGGATACATGTTTCCATGATATGCAACAAGAGCAAAGAAATAATGAAAAAAGTTATTTTCTTTCTCCAAAATTTTCTGCAGTTTCTTTAGGAAATGAATCTTGACCTCATCAATTATTCGGAATATTCACATCTAAATAATTGGAGGCCCAGATTTTGGATCAAATATATTTTTGCGTGGGTCATTTCATAAGTTCTGTATGTCTTGTTTGTGTCCATGATCCAAATATGTTAATTGTACAGAGCAATGTTTTATTCATTATTTGACTTAATAAGCTCCATCTTTGTGATCACCGAGGTTGATGTAGCAGAGTTAATATTTTATTTTAGCATTTGTAAGGAATTGAGGTAAATCAGCTGATCTGGAAAATTTCATAGTAATAAGGGTTTTTATAATTGCTGTAAAATATTCCAGAGAATTGAAAGTTATTATCACTGATGATGTTTCAGATCTATAATTAAATAAAATAATGGTTATGGTACAGTATTTTTGTGGATTTATTCATGCTCACTGAATTTTGGCCTGAAATCTCAATTGCTTAAAATTAATGAACTATAAAGAAAGATCTTCATCAAATAAACTGAGCCTATCTTTGATTCTTCACAATGATGCAGAAATTACTTGCTGAAATCAGAATAGACATCTGTGGGACGCTGGGACCTCAAAAAATACCTTGTCAAGGCACTTTTGGGTCATCCCTTGCATTCGATCGGGATATTGCGCAAATACATTCTGGCGTGACGTATCCATTTTCAAATTATCTCTGCAGGTTGTCCTGATTCAATTCCATATGCCGGACTGGAGGTGAAGGAAGCTGCCAGAAATATACCTTCTGGAACAGCAGTTGCTGGAAACACAATAACTTTTAAATGCGATCGCTGTGTGAAAACATTCAAGAACTTTCCTGATGAAAATGAAATAGTTTCAAAATGTTATGCAAATGCTGGCTGGTTCCCTTACAAGTCACTTATCGGAGACTGCAAATTACGTGAGTGAAAAACATTACATAACCGTTTATTTTGAGGTTTTCAGTAATGAGATGCTTTCAAGTCTGTGTTTGAAGTTTCCTTTCATCATGTGATAACAAAACATCTTCAAATTTTAATATTTGTAATGCAGCTGAGATACAGTCTTAAGGTATACATTTTTCTTGTGCAGCCTGCAATGGAACGATTCCTGTTGTGAAGAACAGTGATGAAAACTGCGCAGTAGGCTCTGCAACTGCGAGTGGGAAATTTATCATGACAATGAGTTGTCCTTCAGGACAAAATTTTGGAGGATCAACTGAAACTTCGTTCACTGTTGTATGTGGTGAACAGACGGTTACCACTATCACTTTAACTTCAACTACAATAAGTGGCTCCACTGGATCCACAGCTGCAGGCACAACTGGATCCACAGCTAAATCCACAAGTGCTGGAACAACTGTGTCCACAACTGCTGGCACAACTGGGTCCACAACTGCATCCACAACAGTGTCCACAACTGTGGCACAACTGCGTCCACAACTGCTGGCACAACTGAGTCCACAACTGCTGGCACAACTGGGTCCACAACTGCTGGCACAACTGGGTCCACAACTGCATCCACAACTGCTGGCACAACTGGATCCACAACTGGTGGCACAACTGGGTCCACAACCACTGGCACAACTGGATCCACAACTGGTGGCACAACTGGATCCACAACTGGGTCCACAACCGCTGGCACAACTGGATCCACAACCACCGGCACAACTGGATCCACAACTGGGTCCACAACCACTGGAACAACTGGATCCACAACTGGTGGCACAACTGGATCCACAACTGTGGGCACAACTCAGTCCACAACCACTGGCACAACTGGATCCACAACTGGTGGCACAACTGGGTCCACAACCACTGGCACAACTGGATCCACAACCACTGGCACAACTGGGTCCACAACCACTGGGACAAGTGGATCCACAACTGGTGGCACAACTGGGTCCACAACCACTGGCACAACTGGGTCCACAACCACTGGCACAACTGGATCCACAGCGACTGGCACAACAGTTACAACAACTACAATTACAATTGGTACAGTGAAGACAACAGTTGCAGGAACCACTGGTACCTCAACAGCAGCTGCAGTGACAACAGGAGGAGCTACAACAACAACCACAAGAGCACCAACAACTGTAGCTTCAGCCAAACAACTTGTGCTAATTATTTCAAACAATGGAGCTTCTTACAGTAGTTGTGAAAAGCTTTGCTCAGCGGATCCTCCAACAATTGAAAATTCAAATAATGATTGGGATGGCAAAGTAAAAACTGCAAAGACTGTGGTAGAGTACACTTGTAAAAGTGGCTTTGCTTTTTCAAAGAGTGGAGAAGCATACCTCAGACCTGGTCAGTTTTCTTGTTTTTTATGGAATATGTTATAATTTTATGCTGAGGAAGTGGTAGTATTTGCAACAAAAAAAACGTCAAAATAATTCCAATCAATTTCAATCAAAGCAGAGGAATTCTAAATTATACAGTGAGACCCCCACATGTGGATGCCTTGACATGGGGACAATTCAACATGGGGACATTCATTTTTTAACAAAACAATCATAAAAAAGACCCAACATAAGGTCACTGACTCAACCTGGGGACATTGTAGGATAAAATTCCAAAATAAATTTTAGGAAAATCAATTTTTATAAGGCATAATTGTGAGAAACAGATGTTTCCAACCTAAGATCTATGCAAGAAAAATTCTTTGGTACTTTTCCCATCATTTTCCCATCCATTCAGCTAATTTAAAAAAATGCCCTATAGCAAAGAGGGAATTCTTTCTAGCTCTCTTTGTGACATGGATGTTATTTTTCCAGATGCCAACTTTCAAATTTACTGTACGGAGGTACACTATTCAATGTTCCAAATGTTCTTATTGCTTTGAAAATATATTTATTGAATCAAATTCAAGTGGCAAAATTTTTTTTCATGAAATTCTGAAGAATATTTCTTCCATAAAACACCAATTAAAAATTATACAATGTATGTCTATGGGAAAACAAGATTTGACTTGGGGACAATCCAACATAGGAACACTCTTGATGCACCAATTATGTCTGCATCTGGGGGTCTCACTGCTGTATCTTATTATTACTTGTATCATCCAAAATTGTCATGAATTAAAATTTAATTTGTAAACATGGAAAACATTTTAGCCCGCTATACTTTAACCTGAGGCGCAGTTCCTCTAATCATTGATGGCATTATTGTGAATAATGTAAAATTTCATTAAAATATTTATGATATATTTTAGAAAATCTTTTCAATCTCTCCATTATACTGTAATATTTCACAGTAACTTCAACGTGTTTGGCATCATCTCAAACATGGACAATTCCACCTCAGACCTGTGAACCTGCCTGTTCTGCAAATCTCACAGTGGTTAATGATACAAGAACAGACTTCAGTGGAGAAAGATTCATCAATTCCACAGTGAGTAGCATTTTCTTTTTCACAATAAGAGCAGTTGAAGTAGAATTTTGGGTGACATAACACACACCCTGTCTAACAAACTTTCCAAAGGACAGATACTTGGTTTGGACTATGACTGTCATCCAATCTAAAGGCTGTCAAATTTGCACATCCCACAATTTCTGCAAAAAATAATCGAAATTGCAAATAGTTTAAACAGTATTTATGATGAAAATTGTCAAGGGCAAAATCAACATGATTACTGTCATTGAATGATTCATACCTTCAAACTAGGTGACTTACATATGCAAGCCTGGTTACACATACAATGAAAGTGACCCTCTGGACACCAAGAGATCCATTATGTGTCAATCTGACAAGACTTGGCAGACCTGGGACAAGAAGAACAAATGTGTCCCACAGCCACCCATCAGACTCACTTCAGGTTCCAATAACGGTGAGCTCAATGACTTTAAATCACATTTCCAAGTACTGTACTGCAGTAGATCACTGGAATCTTCTTTTTGAACGAATGCTGGAATTGATCATTTCTTCCACTCAAAGGAAATGATGAAAAACGACAGATTCTGAGTTTCCGAAGAGCTCTTGATCATGAAACAAAGGGCGAATTGAAAATAGACGCCTTTCAAGTTGGTCTCAGGGAAAAGTTTGTCTGAAAACTTGAGAGCAACGGGATTTTAATCGTAGTTGCACAAGATCTTCTTGTTTGAACGGATTGGAACTTTATTTTACGTCCAAGAAAAACTTCTGTTCTTGACATTCGATTACGTTTTGAAGGCATATTTTCAAATTTAGGAAAATCAATGCAGTCTTCCGAGTAGTTGGCAATAAAAATATCGCCCGGAATTTTTGAAATTCTATGAAAAAAGTTTACCTACTCGGAAATGAAAATTATCTGAGACTCTATTTCGGTTTAAAAAAAAAATTATTGAGATGGTTAGGTTTGTGCATCAGAAAGAGATTTTCTGGTGCTAAGGACAGAGTGCGTATTCTTGAAATGAAAATAGAAGTTTCAAAAGAGGGTGTGAACCGTTTTCCTTTTCCATCGACGAGATCCTTTTTATTTCCCTGGGTTCGCATGAAGAAATCTCCTGTGAACCCAGGTGCTGATGGTATATTATTTATTTTTTGTTCGACTTCTTCTGTGAGATCGCGTGCAATGGAAATGATGGATCGTATATGAATTTCATACACGAGACCCTCTTTTATACTCAATATGCAAGGATATTTTATTTCAAAAGGGGTTCAAGAAATTACCCAAAAAAAGAATTGCTAAACGGAATACCTTACCTTGAGCCAGTGTCATGACGAATGGGATTCCGAATTCATGTTCAATAATTAATTTCGCACAATGGACATTTTTATTCGACGCAGTTTTCCAAAGATGATAGATAGCCAAAAAAAATTTAAAGTGAAAACAGTTCTGGGATGAATTCAATTTTTGAATGGTATTGACAATTGTTTGAGCACTGGCTGAATGAAAATATTATTTCAATGAATTCAAATTAACAAAAGGAACTGCGGAAGGCATGAGATTAATCAATTCAATGCTATAAATGCTAGTGGATTTTATTATTGAATCAATTATTAAAAACGGATGAACTGAAATTTACCCATCAGTTGCCAACGGAAATAATTTCAGAAGATTTCTGAAAGAGGATGCATGAAGGAAACAAGCAATCTTTTGAAAAGTTCACATGCTGAATAATAAATTATTTTTCTATTGATGAAATGAATACTATTTTAAAG